TGTGAGAAGTGGCGGCCGAGGGATCATGTTAAGTATTTTGTTATGTTGGTTGCTTGGATCAATGTATGGATCCTTAGGGCCTTCATGGATTTCTTCTCTTCTCCTTCTTCGATTGTTAGGTCGCTGGATTTCGGTGATCTAGGGTTTGATATGGGGAGATTAGCGGCAACCGGGGCTTTGGTGGTTCATGGAGGAGTTGGGCAGGGGCAGGGGCAGGGGTTGCCTTCTTCAACCAATACTGCAATTGGGAGAGCTCTTTCTCAAGTAAGCGCAGTTCTCTCTGTATTATCTAGTTGGGTGTCTTGTTTGCTTGCAAAGACGAAATAGAGAAACTGAAGCAAGAATTTGCTTTCACTCCCCCCTTTTCCCTTTAGTAAGAGAATTCAAAATTTTGGGAAAGATTCGACTTTTCTTCGTTTTATGTAGGATGAAAGTTCTATACTGCATGTTAGTTTTATTTCCATAAAATTTGATCACTACAAATTGTAATATCTCTAGGATTAAAGCAGTGAAAAGATAAGTCATGAATCAAGCTTAAGCAGCATGTTAGCTTTGTTTTTCTCTTGCTTTTCCTTTTCTTTCCTATTTTGTTCTTTTTTTCTTTTTTCTTGAGGTCAATATGCTAAGTGAAATGAAAAACATTTATGCTTTGTTTGGATGTGGTGAATGAGAGTTACGAGACGGAAGGTGAATAGATTCACACCTTATTTGGGAGTTTTTTTTTAAAGAGAACGGAGGGAAAGGGAGGTAACAAAGTTCACATCTGTTAGCTTACATTTCTATATACTTTGATTCCCTTCCAAATTGAAGTGTAGAGGAAGTAAAAGATTTTGGACCATTATAATAGAAATCAAAAAGACTAAGAAACGATTGCCCTCCATTCTATTTACAGAAACCAATTGAAACCCAACTTCCATTCTTTACTCTTGATAAGGAATAAAACATTTGGCTCAAAATATCATTGGTAACCAAGCTCCTCTTGCTACTGGTTCTGGTTCATGGTTTTCAGCAACTAAGATATTGTTTTTAATTGACACTATGATTCACTTGAAGTATGGAGGTCGCTGGTTTTCCTCAATAAAAAAGATGAACGTTTTCAAGTGTTTCGTTTTACAACTGTGTGTTACTCCCGTAACTTATTTCTACACTTATTTTAGTGAATATATTTAACTTTTAATGGCGGTGGCTGCTTGTGTTTCGTAAATGAATGCACATGGGGAGAGGTGACGAGTTAATAGTTTTCCACGTTTCATGAAAGATTCTCACACGTGTCACAGGTTCTACGAATCTTGAACGAGATTCCAGCCACCTCACCAAAATAACCACGCTCCGTCCATCTCCTCGCAGCGAACCTATTGCCGACAACCTGCAAGCCACGGCCAAGTGTCGCCTCCACAACGTGACGCCGCTCTGCCTCTCCGCCGCCTTCTCACCCGACGATGCGAAGTCTCCGCCGCTCCGTTTACCGCCTCCTCGTCCGCCACACGGGCCGTCTCGCCTCCTCCGCTCCTCCCCCCTCCGGGCCCACCTCGCGCGGCGCTACGACGCTCTTTCGCTTTGCTTTAATGGGGTTATTTCGCGATATAAACAACCGGTCTTCGTCAAGATTGTTGAGCTTTAGCGGTCCGGGCTTGGGGTTGGAGGAGGAGTTGGAGAGTGAGAAGTTGGCCCATGAGGTTTTGTGGATTGTGAATAAGATGATGATGTGTGAGATTGTGGAAGAAGCTATTGTGAGTTGGGGTTTGGAGGATAGGCTTGCGGCTTTGTCTCTTACTGCCAACGCTAGAGTGCAAGGTCCCATCGTCAAGATCTCAGGTTAGTTAAATATTTCTGCTGAATTTTCAAAAATTATCAAGAAAAGAAAAGTAAGTTTGATGAACTATTGCTTGTTTAATTTATGACAGCGGCTAAAAGAAGGATCTATCCTTCTTATATACGTAGAATCTGATCCTATTATTGCCATTTCCTAACCTAAGGGGCTGTTTGGTTGTTGGTAAAGTTGTGTATTTATGACACAACTTGGAAAATTGTTGTCCACCTCATCAATTTCACTTTTATACTTTTCTTTGTTTGTTTTTGATTCCATTGGAATCATAAAACACTTGTTTGGTTTGCAAAATGAAACTTTAATTGTTTGTTTGGAAAGTGTAAAAAGTGGTTCCTACTCAAATGATCATATTGGTTGGAATTATTTTTTCTAGACTTCAATGTTAGCTTTCTCCTAAAATCATGTCTTTTTTTATGAAATCACTTTACAAGCCACATCAGCATATGAAATCACTTTACACTATTTTCACAACTACAAACAAACAATTGAAAGTGATGAAAGCTGACATTGGGACCTACTTTTTTACACTTTCCATCCTTTTACATAGTAAAAACATACAACCAAACGGGCCCTTAAATGTTGGCCAGAACTTGTCCCGTACGTAACTAAAGCTGGCATGCACCTGAGTGATGTTACTGTATTTGTATTGGGTATAGGTGTTACTGTATTTTTATTTAGTAGGAAGCGGATATTACTTAAATACTGAACTCAACAATCGTAGTGAAATGTGGTTAACTGATATATCACAGAAGTTTCGCATGTAGTGAGATACAATAAGTTCATCAATTACATCCATTCTAGACGAACGAATATTACTTTTCTTCCAGAAAAATACTGAATATTTACATTTGTCGAAGTTTGAAGCTACACATAGTTATAGTTGTTTAATTGCATACATGCATAACGTATTGATCTACTTTGTTACCCTGATTCTTATTACCAAATGAATTTAGCAATCCTGCTCCAAGAGCTAGCCCGCGGAGAATGGGAAGCACCAAGAGAAGTAAAATTCCGTATACTCTTACTATGGCTACCTGTCCTCTGCTACGCCAGTAACGGCGTAACACGTCCGGTGCTAATGGGGCTGGAGAGGTTGGAGATCGAAGTGGCGATAGAAGGACTGATCTTAAGCTTGCCTCTTGAGGATCAGGAGGCCATCCTTGGGAACTGGCTCAAAGATTTCGCGGTGATTGATTCAGACTGGCCGAATCTACAGCGATGCTTCGATTGCTGGTGTCGGAACTCAAGGAAGCTTCTGCTCTGAACTCACGGGGTGTTTCTAGAATTTAGATGCAGCAACTTAATTAGGTCATGCTTGTGTACCACTAGTCATACATTCTGTTATGAAGGTTCGTCACGTTCTGAGATATGGTATTGTTTGTGCACTATTTTAGAATTTGGTATATGATACTTGATAAGGGGAAAAAAAAGGATACGAGGCAATGAGATATCGTATAAGTTGCATTGAAGCCTATTGATTTTACTATTTTATCTTTCAGTAGCTCGTTTTGTTAAATGATGTGATGGTTGTTAGCTCTTATGTTTTGATGATGTTTTACAACCACCATTATCGGTACTAATGGCTTATTGAGTGCAAATGTAGTAAATTCTTTTATCAAGCTCGTTAGTGCCATTAATGGAGGATGGATGGAATATATGCTACAACGATGATATCCAAAGGAGGAGGAGGCCAAGAGATGAAGCAACGTTATTTCAAGAACGACAAATTCGAATAAAAGCTTCATCCGATTCAAGCTATATCAAAGCTCAAGTATTGCTCTCTATATGAGGATATTAGCTTTCTTTTGTTTTTCTCTCTAGTGCTAGAATGTAGGCAAAGAGTTACTGAGTTTACTTGAAGCTATTGGGAATCACACACACGTTTTTATATTTGTGTTTTTAAGCGTTTTTCACAAAATACTATTTTTCACAAGTATGAGGACCTATCTGCAAAATTCCTTTTCCAAGCAGTTTGTTTTTAGTATTAAAAACTTTTTACAAAGTTTCAGAATTTTCAGAGGTCAAATAAATATTTTGCAAATATTCCAAGTTGAGTCAAAATCTGTTTTCTGTAATATATCAGAAAGCGGTCGACCGGTCCGGTCGACCGCTCCCATCGCCTTTCCGACCGAACGTTTACTTCGGACGACCGAATTTCTCTTCGGTCAGCCGCGACTTTTTCAAACGGTCATTTGCCTAGTAAACTGCGCTTACACTTAACTGTGTTTGGCACAGTCTGAGATAAGGGTCTGTAAAGGAGATTATTATCCTATTTGGGAAGATTGAGTTTTGTTTTAAATTGATTTAATCTCTTCTATAAAAACCCCAGTCTTCTTCTTCCTCCTTAGCCCTAACATTTGCAAAAACCAGAGAGTCTGCTGTTTCCTGAGAAAAATTTTCAAAGTCTGGTTTCTGTGTTTTCTCTTTGTTTTTGAGTGTGATTCACTTCCCAGCTTCAGTACTTTTTCTCTTTGCTATAGGGGCTGTGTAAAGAGAGAGTCTTGCATATTTTCTTCTGCTGTGTGAGTGAGATCTTGTGTAGATCAACTGTGAGAGAGTGTGATCTGTTGAGATCAAACTGTGTAGTGAGAGAGATCGTGTGGGATCGCTGTGTAGACGAAGTTCCGGCTTCCAAACCGGGTGTGTAGTGGATTTCTCCTCGAGAGTGGGGAGCGGGGACGTAGGCCAGAGGGTCGAACCTCGTTAACACATCGCGCGTCAAGGATAACGAACTCCTAACCCTATCTCTCTTACTTAAATTGCTTTACTGTTTTGTGGTTTGCTTGTGTTTGATTTTTATTGCATATTAGAGCCTCTTGACCCTAATCACCCCCCCTCTAGGGTCCAACAATGGTTTATTTACATTAAGTCCTGCTAGAACAAATGGATCTCATTACTCCTATACCTATGAGTGTTTGTCCTTCGCTACGCCAGCAACCGCGTCCAGTGCTGTGTTAGTACAATTTTGTTAGCTTACATCTTTTTGGTGTTGGTGGTGTAAATATGCATGTTTTACAACCATATGCTATAAGAGGAACGGACTTCCTGTAGTTCTATTTGTGTGAATAGACACTTTGAGTAATTTTTTTTATTCTTAAAATCGTTTAAAAGTTTTTGAGGAGGCAGATACGTCTCGTATAGTTCTATTGGTGAAGATAGACCTCCAAATGTTTTTTTTACTTTTAAAAGAATCGAAAAAGTTCACCAGGAGTGTGTTCGCAATTAGGCCAATACTTCAGGGGTTCTTTTCACACAAATAGAACTACAAGAGGTTTATTCGCAAGTGGGTGATCCTATAGGAAGTTTGTTCACGATTATTTACACTAAGGCCGAATATTTTTTTGCCCAGCTACATTTTTCTTGAATCGTACTAGACTTTTGAAACTACTTCTACATTACCACACCCAAAAGATTGTAAGCTCCTCAATGACTCGTCAAATTTTGATGGCCATCCAGGTGGAAGGACCCTGCATTTGTGTAGTACAGTGGTGTAAAGGTACTTTGAAAAGTATAGTTTAGTTAGAATTATCCAACCCTATTTGAAACTTACTCATATAATGCACGTACTTTGCACGTGGACACAATTATCTTATATTTTTAATCTATTTTATGAGAAAAAAAAAGAATAAAAGTTTAGAACCAATTGGAACATGAGTTACAGTTTTTGGACATGATTTACTTTTGACTTTATCAAGAATGACTTAATTTTAATGTTTAAATTATTTAATAATTTGACAGTGACTTTTTATGTAAGATTTTACTAATCATTGCCCTAAAAAGAAGGAGAGAGATAAAGAGAGAAAGGGGAAAAACTCACTCTCAACTCTCTTTATCTCTCTCATCATTAACCATTTATCCTAAGATATCAGGTCTATAACATTTAATGAACACCAATTTGATGTCAATCATTGGATCTATGCATGGATCCTGATATCTAATAATCTGATGGTTGACATCCATTTGGTGCATATTTAACACCATACACCCAAGATCATTTGATACTTTTGCAGAGCTCTTTGGTTGGTAAAATCGTTTCATTTAAGATGTTTTAATTGAAAGGGCAAAGAGTTCTTTACATGTGTTAGCATTTAATCATTTAATAATGGGTATTATTAAAAATTATTAAAATTAAGAGGGCAATCAAAAGTTTTGACATATCAATCATCATTTATAAGTAATCTCATCATTTATAAGTAATATAGATTACTTCTTCAAATTATTGAAACTACTAGTGTGTCCCCGATTCATATACTTGTTCAAAATTAGTCACTCAAATCATTGAAATTGATATTAGTTTTCCAAGTTCTTATAAGTTGTTTTAAATTAATTTCTCCATCAAGAGTTATGCAAATATAAGAATTGAGTCACCTGATGACATTTCAATGATCTGAGGGGCTACTGACAATATGTCAAAGATTTAATCTGACTAATATATAAAAACACCTATTTGTTTCCCAAACAAATAAAAATAGTGAAAAATTGCTTCTAGCCCTCAAAATAACAAATATAGTTCGCCCCACCCCTAAGATTTTTTCAACACCCCAAAACCCCCTAAAGCACATGATTTATACCTTTAGCTCCCTAATTCGGTTCCCACATGACTGAACTTTGAAAAAAAATCCCAACTTACCCTTTGACTTAACGACCCCCATCAATAGCCATTCTTGTTTCTCGTGCCCATGTCCCTCATCTCTCCTAGAGCAACACCGCCCTAAACTCAGGCCCAACTCAAAACCCTAATCCTAAATCAGCCTACCCCAGACAGAAATTGAAGATCTCTTCTTGTCATCTGGCCTTGCTTCACTCCTTTCAACTCCAACAAGCTTCCATTACTTCAAAGCATGACAAATGAGGCACAGCCGAAGATAGTCAATCTTGTAGAAGAATTGAAAGATGATGGCTCATAGTATGAAGTCACAAGAAGACCAAACTTAAGCACCGAGTCGACTGATGCTGGAGAAACAATAGGAAATGTTTTTGAGAACTTCACAATTACTCATCCCTCGCCCACAACCCCAAATAACTATGTGGATGAAGATATGACCCAACATGAAGGCAGCATGGACGAGGCAACGAAAGCTCTCCTAAATCTAAAGAAAGGAACAAATAGGAGAGATTTGAAAGGATTGAAGAAATTAAAGCAGAAGAAGTGAGTTATTAATCAAAATAGTTAATAGTGGTTGTTTAATGCATAATTTAGTTGTTTAGGCTATTAGTTTTCATAGCCCGTTGTGTTTGATAGTTGTTCATTATTAAGATACTTGTTTAATTTTGAAGGATATGTGTTAGTTGTGAATGTTACTATTAAGTTGTGAAGGTTAGTTGTTAGTTGTCAATGATATTTATTAGTTGTTAAGGTTAAATGTTAGTTATGAAGACTATTGTTAAGTTATGAAGGTTAGTTATTAGCTATCAAGGATATTCATTAGTTGTTAAGGTTTAAGTGTTAGTTGTGAATGTTAGTTATTAGTTGTCAATGTTACTGATTAGTTGTTAAGTTTAATATTTATTTGTTAAGGTTATCAATTAGTTGTTAATGTTACACTTTTCATATTAGTTGTTAAGATTATCATTTGGTTGTTAAGGTTACAATTTAGCTGTTAAGGTTACATTTTAATTGTTAAGGTTACAGATTGGTTGTTAAGGTTTTAGTTTATATACAAACTAATTAAATATCTATATTTTACTTTTTAGACAAAAATTGTATTGGTATTCCATCCTACATTAAGTTTCACTGCATACTACGATTTTATGCATTCTTTAGTTTAGTTTATATACAAACTAATTAAATATCTATATTTTACTTTTTAGACAAAAAATGTATTGGTATTCCACCATACATTAAGCTTCACTGCATACTACGATTTTATGCATTCTTTAGTCAAACTTATTGATAAGAGGTATTAAGATGCCTAAAAAGATTGTGTGCTCAGACACTACATCCATTTTGCCCCCTGGGTCTTAATCTTTCTACTTTTGAACATGTCTTGAGGCAATGAGACCAGAAGTAGAAGAAATTTATTTTTACAGATTTTGAAATTGGAAAAAACATTGAATGCTCATTCAGCATTAAATGGATTATGAACCATACATGGTTTGCGAATGAGGAGAATTTTATTGGTCCCATTTGAGATAGAAACAATCATATTTGGCAAAGGTATTTTACCGAAAATAAAAATGACAATAAGGATCCCTGAGCACTTACCAGACATTATGTTGAGTCTCTCCTCATGAAGCTCGTATATTCTACGAAGCGAGATGAGGTGCAAGACTTCGTCCTACTCCATACCCTATATCAGCTGAGTATGATTTGGTGTCCTAACAGTGTTCTTGGGACCCCAAGATGCTTGTTCAAGTATGTTGATGGTAGTGAACAAGTTAAGAACACTTCTTGGAGGACCTATATCTATAACTTGACAAATTTTGTAATTAAAGCTATATTAAAGGGTTTAGGAAAAAGGGAAGAACATTTATACCTGCA